AAAGAGAAACGGAAGGTGGTCCTATTTTTATTTAATTTAGCATGGAGTTTGAGCAGAAGGGAAAATTTATTTTTAAATGGGACTTGTTTGCAACCTTGATTATATTTTATGGAGCTGTTTTCTCTTGGAGATCAAACAAGACTACAACTTTGCAGCACAATACTATGGCAAACATTTATTCATGGGAGAAGGCTCCCTAGGGAGCCCATGGAAAAACTTGAATTGGAGTTTAGAGAAATTGTGCAGAAGCATAGTAAACATTTATTTTTTTAACTGGTGCATTACAGTGTCCATAATAGGTAGCATTTTAGTAGTGTTCTGAGATTGGCAAGTCCTGCCTTTTGCCACTAACTTTTTTTCTAAAATATAGTGTTTTTTTATTTTTTTTTATTTTCTCATTTCCTCTCCATCATCCTCCTAAGTTACCAAGAAACTTTTCCTGGCTGTCTTTTAAGGAGTAGTTTGCATGTTTTGTAAAGCAAAATTTTGCTTCAGGATCAAGAGATGATTTCTGCCTGTGGACTTTGAAGATCAGTACAAGGAAAAAAGTGGACTTCCTCTGTGATTCGCAAATACACAATGCACTCTTTCTGGGTCCCTGTAATCAGAATTTAAGGACCAACTAGCCATATCAGTTGGCACTCCATTTGTAAGTAGCCACAAGATGCAGCCTTAGGAGGCCCTCGTGCTCATGTGCAAACTATATCTGTCAGCTCGATCAAAGGTTAACATCAGTAGAAGATGTGTTCAAAGAAGCTTACAGCGTTCCAAATGCAGGGTCATTTTGGGATGCTTTGCTAATTTTGCCTCATCAGACGTTCATTCATTGAGCTGATACTTGGAAATAATATATTGAATTTGCCGGCACATTTAATTTTCTTTGTTAAGTGTTTTTCCTCGCAGTCGTAATTTTCACATCTGGTTTACGTATATGCTTTTAAAGCAAAGAATCCTTTCATCTCCTGATTTGTACAAGTTCAGCGGCTGCTCTTGGTGGTATCATATGAGTTTAATGTGAAAATTTTATTAGCATTACTAGCAGTAATATGGAGACCACCAATTTCATTTGGAGCTCTGCTCAAGCAAGGAATAGACAGAATACAGGCTATATGTAGCAAAGCATAGTATTTATTTTATAGAAAGACCTGAACTCATGATTCTGAAAAATGAAAAGCAAACAAAAAAATCACAGTTCGTGAGGTTGGTCAGGGAGGGAAAAGGAAATCTCTCCCCAACTCCCAACTCCTCCTCCATTTTCTCTTTGTCTGGAGCGTCCTCCAGTGCTGCCTGTCCCTGATTTTCTTTTATTCCACTCCTTTCATGCTTTTGACGTTGAAATATAGACTCTTCTTTTTACTTCTCAGGATATTTTTTTCATTACACCTGTGGCATGCTCCTAAAGAATTTCTATAAAGAAAATCTGGTGAGTAGTAGATCAGATAAACCCCAGCATCTCTCTCTTAAGACTAGATGGCAAAAGGGGATTGGAAAATGAATAGCCTAATATCTGGACCTTTTTACCTTGAGGTTAGAGCCAGATTCAATTGTTGCTGAGGAAGCTACTACTCCAGCTGCCTTGAAAACTTGAAGATTTAATGAAGTGTTTTTTCTCTCTCTCTCTCTCTCTCTCTCTCTCTCCCCTTTCCTCTCTCTCTCTCCCTCTGCCCTCTCTCTCATATTGGGGATTTAATCTGGGGCCTTGTGCACTGAGCTATCTACACAGCCTTACTTATCTCTCTTTTAGTCTCTTGCTTTCTCTTCATAGGCTTTACTGATAACCTTCTCTCAGACCCTAAGAATAATTAATATGTATTCTGTATATCTGGCTCAGCACCTAATCTGCATGTAAGAATGTTCATTGGTAATGTCCGGCTAGGATACTCTGCTCAGGGTATATGTAAATTATCATTGGGAAACCAAGAATATTAAGGAAATTATTATATTTCAGCTTACCTTCTTAGCAATCCATCAAGTTTCAGGACATTCATTCATACTAAGCTATCCTTATTCTAAAGACAGAGATGACTTATAAATAATTATGAAGATCTGTAGTTACCACCATTTGTTGTCTATCACAGTAGATAAGAGGATGCAAAACTCTTACGCTTACTCGACATTTTCCTGTTTATTGACTAATACTCAAATATGTTTGAGTAGGACAGGGAGGTATTAATGTAATCATTGCTTTGCTGTTACAGACAATACAAAAATGTTGCATTTTGCATAGCACCTGTCTACCTCGTAGGGAAATCTCTCTAGAGCAGAACATAAAGATTTGGAAGTTTCTCACCTGACTC